TTTTTTAAAGCCCCATTCCCGGCAAAATTTCAGTTTTTAAGAAAAATCTAATTTTTGTATAATGTTATAAAGATTTATAAATATAATACGGAATTGCTAGTTTAACTGAATTTAGACATTCCTAAGAATGAAATAAATGTAAAATAAGACTGAAATTCGATTTTTTGTGTTCCACACAAAAAATAAATGCGGATGATTTTTTCATGTTTGATTTTGCGATAGGTCGTGAGAAGAAATATCGTAGGCGCCGAAAACATTAGCCTATCTAACGCTGCTAGGCCTAGCCTTACCTCGATTTAGGTTCTGTTATCACACATAAAAACGGCCGACATTATATTTTCCGTTGCTAGTATTGACAATTATTTCAAATTTGCTAAAAAACTGATTCTGACTGAGATTTTGACACTTAAACAAACATATCTCAGCCTAACCGAACGACTGCATTGTGCGAGATGCGAAGTACAAAAACTAATCTCATTAGAGAGGGCGCACTTTATTGACTGTATAAAGTACGTATACATAAAAGCGAGATATTCCAGTGGATGCGATCTACAACCTCTGAATTTGTTTATTAACGATGAATTATTTGAGAAAATGGTAATATTTTATGAGAAATAGTCTGCATTTCTCATTTTTTTTATTCTTTTGCATAAAACTAAAATTCATGCCATTATTTTTCCATGGTTTATATTAATTGGAGTAGTGCAAATGCATATTTTCTATAAAAAGTCAGTTTTTAGTGAAATTTTGCCGGGAATGGGGTTTTAAAATTTGACAAAAAATTTGCAAATATAACACTTCACTGAGAAAAGCAGAAATAACAATATTATTTGACATTCACTTCAGGTAAAATGTTTTTATCACTTGCTGAATGTAATGTACTTGCTAAAAAATAATTATTATCATCATTTCTTGTATTATGGAGTGGTGCTTTTTTGTTTGTATTTTGTAATTAAGGATCTTTACCTAGCCTCAACATACATTAATGATGCAAGATACGCCCGCAGCTATAAACATAAAGTTGAGCAGGAGTATTTAAAGTAAGAAAAAATAGTCTTTATTATCAATATCCTTTACATAAGGGGCATTGTCATTAGATTTTTATTGTGCTTTTAATATTTTGAAATTATACATTTAATTGTTTGCTGGTTTTATCATTATTTAGGGCAAATAGAAAAATATATTAGATTATCATTCCCGCCCGCGTCAAAAATTCGGAAATATGGATGCAGGATTAAAAAAATAAAATTTGTTTGCCGCATCAATTATTTCAACAGCATAAAATAACAATGCAATTTTGTGACTTTAAATACATTTTCTTTAAAAAACTATAAAATTAAGCCAGTTTTTATACAATATTTACTATTACACTATTACAGGCCCGGGTACAGGCCAATTATAGTAGTACCTCCTTTGTCGATAAAAATAAAAGCGAAATACATTATTGTATCGATTAAAAAAAAAACAAAAAAAAAAAAACTGCCCTCCATCATCATACTGTAATGCCTGTCTCTTATACACATCTAGATGTGTATAAGAGACAGCCTTAAGGGGAAAGCTCTTTCTATATTATTCTGTTAAACCGTAAAACCTCGAAGCCCAATGTGCTTAATCTTGAGAAGAAGCCCATCTTGAATTGAAGCCCCCTCTTTAGTTTGTAAAAGTAGCCTCGAAAAAAAAGCACATAGGCTTCTATTCAAGATAGCATTACATGGTCTTCTTTTTGAGATAATACAGTACATAAACTTTACAGGAAGTGACCCTATTTATTGTTTTATAGTAGATTAATCCCTAAACTTTACAGCATTCATTTAAAAAGAACCACCACTCCCCCCCCCTTTACTTTGCAAAAGTAGCCCCGAAAAAGAAGCCCATCTTGAAAAGAAGCCCATCGAAAGTTTGCAAAAAAAAGAAGCTCAGGGATTCTATTTGAGGTTTTACGGTATAATAGTGTATTTGGATTCATTGTAAACATTGCAACATTTCGGAGAGCAATAACCTCAAATTTAATGTTATTTACTAATAGAATGGGGCTTATCTTACTGTTTAGGGTGCTTGCTTTCTATTTTACAGGGTCCTGTGTTAAAATTCTATCAAGTGACAGGATATTTTTTCATAAAAAAAAAGCAATTCCACACCCCAAGCCTCCTAATGATACTTAATTTATATAGAACAACTTGTGTATAGGCCTTGTTTTGTCTTGTAAATGGTATTGGCACTTTTTAAATAGGACAGTGAAAATCATCATCATTATTTATTTATTATTAATGATATAAATATTTTAATATCATTATATTATTAATATGATTATTATCATTTTATTTTAACAAATAATCATAGGCTCTAAAATATATGCCTTTTATTTTCTATATTATTGTATTGAAAAATGGTAATATCAATATTTATTTTCCAAATATTATATTATATATTATTATTTTTAATGTTTTATATTCATTGTCATTAGCTTCCAAGAGCATATTACTTTAATATTATATCATTGTGATTATATTTTTTATTTTTCTTTCAGATATTATGCATTATACAACACAGCCTTCTTGACATATGCTCTTTATTTTTTCCTGTTTTTAAATTTGTCTTTGGCCCTTTTTGAGGAACCGGCCGTTAATAATCTAAGTTTGCCATATTGGGTATGTGTTACAATGTATGTGTCTTCCTAATTGTATAAATTTAAAGCATTTAACCATCTTATTACTACACTGTTTACATTCACTACCAATAAAATTTTATTTTTATTTTCTCCTCCATCTTGATGTTTTGGCTAAACCATTTGCTAAGTAAGAAACCAAAATGTCTTTATATTTCACGAAACAAAGTATAAAAAAGTCTTGTTTAATGGAGAATTCCTAGACAAGAGCCTCGGTCATAGGTTCAAAGAATAAAAATCCCTGATATAGAGAAGAGTTTACATGGCTTAGTTTGGCCCACATTGTGCTTTTAGACCACAATATTAGGGATTTCAAATCCAAATACTGTAATGCTATTTAGATAGGCATATTAATATTTTTTGTCCGACAGCCATGTCGGGTGACGGGGTCCAGACCTGTCTGACAGGGGAAAAGCCCTGAATCCCTCCCCCGCTGGCGCCATCACTGAGCATGGTTTAAGCTGGAATTTAGTTGTAGTCTGGTGTCTATAATTAAGAATTTCTTTTCTCTTATTTTATTTAGGTTTTTACTAATCATGAATCCATTTTATGTTTGCAGTCCACCATGCTTATGGAGTTGCTGTGCTTGGGATATTTCACGTTTCGTCTTGTTCACTCAAAAAAGTTTTCTTCAGGGCTTCGCTGGTGGACAGATACAAAGCATCTAATAACTGTTAGTATTATACTGGTAAGTTAACTCTTTGTGCCTGCTTTTGTGTTTGTGCATAAGTATTCTTTTGTCTTCACTGTTTTTTTATTTATTTTTTTTTATATAAAAGTACAGTACCATTAAATTTATAATATAGGCTTGTAAACTTTTTTTCATTGTTTTTCTTTATCAATATTTTTGTGTGATGGTTATTTCATTTTACTTACTACAAAACAGTATATTTTTCCTACACATTGAGTGAAATTCTTATAATGTTAATACTGGTAAATGGATATATATGTGAATGAATGAATGAATAATATAATGAATGACAACTGTATAAACACATGAATGAATGAATGGATATATGGGTGGATTAATAAATAAATGAATGGATGGATGAATGAATGAATAAATTTATAGATAAATATATGAATGAATATATACAACTTTAAATGAATGGTTAAATGAATCTAAAATCTAAAAATAAAACTTTGATAACAGCATGGATAAATAACATAGATAAATAACATGAATACATACCATGTATAAAATAAAATTAATAACATGAATATATAACATAAATATCAAAATAGGTAACATGAATAAATACATGTATTTCAAAATATTTAACTAACATGAATATAAATAACATAAATATAAATAAATAAATGCAAACAAATTTAATTATTATGATAGTAGTATCTGAACATTATGTTGACATTTCTATATTTTCTCTTTAGTTAACATGCATAGATATCATTCTATACATCATTTTGAAAGAGGCTTGTAATAGCTGTACTGTTGTCCGATGGTCAAGGTGTCTTCGGCCACTCTTTCTGGTCAATTTCACTGAGATGAGACAGGTTTGGACTTTTTCTGAGATGGGGCAGGTCTCCCTCCAATTGAAGGCCATCTCCAATTAAAGACCAAAGCTGCTAAAGACATGAAACCTCGTACCAAATAATTATCTTTAATTGTAGGGAAACTTGTATCTGAATTGATAAATCTGATAACAGAATTGTTAACCCTCAAACTTTCAATTAATATATTTAATTGTATTTTTTTTCAAGTTATTCATATACTTTCAGTTTTTGCATATTTTAATACATTATAAGTCTTAAAGGGCATATCAACATTATGAAATATTTAGTTGTAGCAATGTTTTTGTTTCTCTTTTTAAAAATGTTTTGCTTAGTTTAATGTGCATTGTATTTGCATAGCTTCGTCGTAGTTTTCGCAACATACGCCGTACCTTGCCAGAGATATTTTACATGCTAATCTTGCTCTTTATTGTGATTGGTCTGTTTGCATTACTCTTGCGGGAGCTCTTTAAGGATGAGTAAGTCTCAGTAATTTTATTATAGATATTATTATTAACATTCTTTACAATGTTTGTGGTTGTTAGCTGTGAATATGTGGACTGAAGCCAGGCATGAAGAGCAGCTTATTTCAGTCGTATCTTTTGGTCCCCAAATCAGCTCCCATCGCTGTCCTTGTGTTTCAGCTAACTGGAGGCCAGAAATGCAAGTTTCAATAGTGCACCGTGTGTGGGATCCGAGATGTTTCAGCTGTTGGTTCTGAATGCTTCATGGCCCATATGCATGTTAAATGAACGCAAGACCCCACTGGAAATAAGTCTTCGGACATTTGTGGATTATCTTTGGCAATAAAATACAATAAATATATCCTATGAAATAATTATCTATATTAATAAAAAATTAATTATGTATAAATAATTAAATACCCAGTTAAGGACACAATTATTTTTTTCTTTTAAATAATTAATTAATTGGTTTAATGGTTAATGATCCTAATAATTTTCCCCCCCCAGAAACCTGTTTATGCCAGATGGGACTCCCTACATGACTGTCTACTGGGATAACATTTGGCATTTGTATGTGTTGGTTACAACTGAAAATAGTCCAGACATAATGTGAGTTGTTATCAAAATGGAACATTCCACTAAAAATGGACTATTCCACTAAGATGGAACATTCCCTAAGGTCCCAACAACAGTCATAATGTACAGGTGTAAACTTGTGTGTTTAAGGGACTCTACATAATCCTGGACCTGCATATTGAATAACATGTTCTGATTGGTCATTTGTTTGACACTACAGAAAGGTCAATTGTTCTTGTATCCTGCTGTTAATATTTATATTTGATTAATACAGCTGAAACATTTTGTAGTGAACATCCAAATTCATTCATCTGTGATTATCTGGTAAATTGCAAGTAAATATGGTATGTCTTCTATTTGTTATGTATGCTGGTCTCCCTCCAATTAAGGACCCCTTCCATTATAGACCACCTCCAATTAAAGACCACCTTTTTGCAGCCCAAATGAATATCTATTGTTTATTTTTATAATAATATTTTTCATAATTAAAGACCAAAGCTGCTAAAAAGACCATGAAAACTACGGTTCCAAAAAGTGGTGTTTAATTGGAGGGAGACCTGTATTTAATTAATATAAAAGGGTAATTGTAAAATTCAGTTAAGTATCAACTATCAGTTTGGCAACAGTAGAATTATATGAATCGTAAAGTTCCTTTGTTTTCTGCTTTATCCAGAGATATAAAGTTTTTAATTTTATATTTATATGAATATGTCGTATAAGAAGCTGACAAAGTATTGTCAGTCCCTGTTCACATACAAACAATGTACAGTTCTGACAAATTAAAGTATCATTTCTCCCCTTCACATTTGCCATCATCTCCTCCCCACCCCAGAGACTATAACAACCTGTATTGTTCTCATTTTTTAGGATGCCAGCCTACGACAAAAATGCTTGGAATGTACTCATATTCATTGCTTACATCATCATCTGTATCTACATCTTGATGAGCATCTTTTTGGCTGTAATTTATAAGAACTACAGAAAACATCTAAAAGTATGAACAAATATCTGTATTTTACTAATAATAATAATAATAAGGCCAAGTGAAAAGAAAAAGTTTCTCATCCTAATATTTTGAAAAAAGGAGAATTAGGGCACTTTTTTTTTTTGTTACTCTGAGATGGCAAATCCAAAATGGTCAAAGGGAAACAGACATACTACTTTCTCACTACCAAGTAGACCCATTAATCACAAAAGCAAATAGAAGAAGCACTAGACATGATTCATACCACATGTATCCCTAACCATAATGATCGAGAGAGGAAGTTTACTGATGTGAGTTAGCCAGATTTTCGTACATTTCGAAAAAAATTGGTGAGGCAAAGAAAATGGATGTGCAAACTTGTAATACTGATAAATTCTTCTCTATATTATTAATACACACATGTGCAGATTATATTCTATTGAATTTGCAATTTGTTCCTTCTTCAGAATGAAGTTCAAAGGTCGGTGTTTGCCAAGAGACGTCAACTGAATAGAGCGTTTGACATTCTTAAAGTTTTTAACGGCAATGAATTTATCATACCTTGGGTACGGTGGAAGGTGGTCATGAAGTTGGTAGTCCCTCATCGAAGCGAAGTGTTGATTAGGTTATTATGGGATATCATTGATGAGGATGACGATGGTCAGATAGGTCAGTGGCGTGTCCTGCTTTTTTTTTTAATTGACCACCAATACCTGAGCTGTAGCTTCAATTGCACATGCAGTAGCCGACTCATTTTTAAAATTTTGAGGTGTCATAATTTTAATTTCAATGTGTTTTTGTCTGTCCATAAGCGGGGAGTTATTGCATATTGTGCCCGCTTTGGTGCATTATTGCTGTATAGGCTATTATTAATACCCACACATCCCTTTATCTTGCATTTAAAAATGCAATTTTTACAATTTGAAGGCAAATGGAGGTATGAATATTAACTGCAGCCTGTTTTCCACTAGTCAAATTTATTCCCTCGAATGGAAAGCATCAGCTGATGCGCATGCGCATTTACATTTCTGTCATATGTTTGATTGTCAAAAAAAAAAGACCAATACACATATGCCTACATTAAATGTAGATTTTTGGCACTGGTTTAAAAGTTGTGCCCTATAAACCCAGTGCACATTCAAAAATTGTCATCACGAGACTTTTTTATGCATTTGCTTCTTAGAGTCAATATTTTTCAACATTGCCCTCAAAACTTTACACTAATTTCTTATTCGTTTTATCTCCATTTTTTCATTTGCACAGATAAAGCTGAATTTATGCACGTGGTGGACCTATTGAATATTGAGATTTCCGAGGTTGCGGATCGTATTCCACTAATCGGTAGAACTTTCCCACAATGCTATGAATCAACAATAAGTAGAAAAATAAAAGATTGTGTGAGAGCTCCGTAAGTCTGCAACACTTTCAGTTATTTTTTACATTTTAATGCCTATTTACAGAGAGCATGAAGCAGCATGTGACAGCGGCAGAAAAAACAGAACCTACAATGTTTTTTTATGTTGATCCACACCAAACGCTACATGATTACATGAGAAAATGGCGCATCACTGACTAAAGAACAAAAATAACTCATGCACAACAAACAAACATTCTGACCAATCTTCATTCATCCTTCATCCTTCTGAACAGGGTACACTACTGTAGAACAAGCGATGCAAGTTGCGTGTGCCACAGCTGTGGAAATGTAACGCACTGTACGACAAAATATTTTTGTTGCTGTCGCGTGCCACTGTCGCATTCTGTGTAAACCGGGCCTTTAATATGCAAGATATGTTAATAATCAATAGCATTTTCTTGATTAAGAAATTTGATGATGGTTATGATGAAGTCCTGTTGATAATGATAACAATGGTAAAATATTTTGTTTTCTAATTCACCAATTTCAGAATTTTCCGATATTTTTTTGATGTTATCATCACAATAAACGCATTCTGCATTGGCTTTCGATGGGACCAAACCGAGTGGTTTTTCTTGACGTTATTTACCTTAGAGATCGTCCTCAAGCTGTACACTTTGGGAGGACGTCAGTTTTGCAGAAAACCTTGGAATGTGTAAGCATTGTCACTTTCTAAAGATAAAGGCTTGCCATGCAAAAACCACATCAGTGACCAAAACAAGAAATCAACTTATTATTGCCAAAGTTAAGAGTAAAAGTATTACAGCTTCTCTGTACTAAAGTATACAATACTGACACATTCTTATGCTAATTACTCAGTTTAACTTTCCAGTACGCTGGTTTTGCCATGGCAAGCCTCAAATATATTTTTAAGGAGAAAAATAGTCAGATAGAGTTGGTGATTGTAGGATTGAACTAACATAGCCAAGTATACATCAGATATTTACAGAACACAAGAACTTACTGAATTCAGGCCTGTAAAAAGGTTCCTGGGAAAGGGAGGGAGGGTGGGTTCTTATAGGCAGTGTTTAACTCACAATTTTTTTCTCTAATAAACAAGATGCAAAGGGGCAGGCCTTAGGGGAAAGTCCATTGTTAGTGTGTGTATATATCTAACAAAAGAGATTTAAAATGTCTCAATACAATTATAGTGGCAAAGATTGATTAATGGTATTATGGTAGAAATGTGAAAATGAAACAAGGGATTTTAAGTAGTAAATGGACCATTGTCGATCAAACTTAACTGACCAATCAGAAAAGGGCCAGGAATATACCGTACTCACGCGAATAAGCGCTCGGGTGCTTAAAATATTTTTTTGCACTTTCTGAGGGGCGCTTATTCAAACGGGGCGCTTATTTAAACGGGGCGCTTATGAAAACAGAGTGGAAATTGAGGGGGCGCTTATGGAAATAGATGAAAATCGAGGGGTTCTTATGGAAAATTTTTAAATTCAAGAGTCACTTTTTGAATGAAAAAAGATTATATTGTAAGGACATCACGAATGGTGGTTAGAAAAGATAATCGTCCAGAGAAAATGGCTCATTACAAGAATGCATGAATATTTACATAACAGCAAAATAGCAGATGCTAGTGGTTAGCTTGTTGGCCATCGGCCGATTGAGATTAGCAGGATGGCAGATCATTGTATTTTTTCTTGAAAACTAGATGAGAATGTGCTAAAGGTCGGAAAAACAGAAAGAGGAGTAGGACTAGGCATAGACAAATATGTAAGAAGAGTAAAGTTGGAAATATTCTGTCTGTCCAGGGATTGGAGCTCTTATCTGTCCAAGAGAAATATCCTCATTTTGATATTGACGAAGAAGAATGTGTTTCCACTCTACAGCTCAAATCATGCCAACAACCACAGTCCCAGGATTGATTGGATTATTGACTTGCTAAAAAAGAAAATCTTATGAGGCGCGCTTATTCAAATTAGAAGGGGCGCTTATTCAAACGGGGCGCTTATTCATGCGAGTACGGTATGCGCATATCTTACAAATTCACCTGTCACCGCCCACAAATGTTAACATACAGTATATTATGTTATTGTTTTTGTTAAACCTTAGTAACAATATCCAAGGTCATTTTATATATGTTTATATACATATATATACTGTATATGTATTGTTCAGTTATGTATATTTAGGCCTATACTAAAATAGAATCACTATGTGTAATTATAACAATCTTGACTTAATTATGATATAACTTATATAATAATTTATAAAGTATTGCCCCTAAACATAATTAACGTATGTATTGTCGATGTACCTATTTAATGAATTAATGATATTTTAACATTAGTATATTTAATACTTATAGACTTAAAGATCGTGAACAGTTTTGTAGACAAGAAAGTGCTTTTAATAAATAAAGAAATCCATGAAAATGAAATTGAAAAGTGAGTTACCCTCACTAGAGAGATAAAAAAATATGTATTTTATATGGTTGATATGTTGAAAGTTAAACTTATATTATGTAGCCCTATTCATTTTATTGATGATTTGTATTCAGTGAATGATTTTACTGATTGTATAATGATATATTGATGAATAAAACTTGTGGTTTACCACAAAATATACTTTCATTTTTGTAATTTTTTTTCTAAGCTGTTTTGTCTGTTTTCCTTTACAGAAAGTGTAACTGAGGATACCTTGGATTTCTTGCTTGTTCTTAGAGTGCTAAGATTGGTCAGAATCATTGCAGAAATAGAAAGGCAAGTGATGGAAATTTGGTTGAGAAACAAGCCAATACTAAACGATGTTCTGTTTACGTTACATAATAATAATAATAACAATGGTAGACTTAAATAGCGCATATTGTTAAGCCCTCTATACGCTTCACATTATCATTACCCCGGTCATTGGATTAAATGCCTATGGAACACAAACTCTACCTCCCTGGGGGAGTATTCCAAAATGTTGCAGCAGCATTAACCCTACCAGGTTCCCACTTGAAACGCTGACCTCGAGGTTGGGAAACCGAACAGTTCCCGCTGCACCAAACACTACCACATAATCAGTACAGAGCAGTGGCGGCGCCAGCAGGGGGCAGTGGGGGCTTAAGTCGTCCACCGGACAGATCAAGCCCCTCCACCGGACAGGTCAAGCCCCCCCCCACCGGACAGAACTCGTCATAGGCTCACACCAAACCAACAGTCTGAGAGTGCCATTTTCGGCCATCCGGAGGTTGATATTCTTTAAAAAAATATCATTTGGGAGGGGGAAACCCCTCTCAAACCCTTCCCCCAGCTCGAGCTACAAGCTCAAGTCTCCCTGTCGGACAACATAGCCCCCTCCAGAAAACATATCCCAGAGCCGCCACTGGTACAGAGTAGTGTGGGGAAATTTATATCTGTTGCGTCTGCCAAAATTTCTTTTTTCAGTTAGTGGGCAAGCATTGTACTGTGGTAGGCATCTTGTATAGGGACTTGTTCCCTTTTTGCCTACCACACACCAAAATGAAATTATGAATTATGAACTATTTTATTGGATTGGATTTATTCGGTGTAAACACCAAGGATAGCCCATGAAAGTCTAGAAGAAGACTTATTTCCGTTGGGGTCCTCTGGTGGTGATTGGACAGTACACTGGGAGACAATCCCCTACTCTTTTCCGAAGAGTGTATTGCGTTCTTTAACGTGCACATGGGACCAATGGCTTAAATGTCTCATCCGAAAGACGGTGTGCTATTGTAACTTGTATTTCAGCCCTCTAGCTGAAACACAAGGATAGGCAGCGATGGGAATTGAACCAGGGACCTAGAGATCTCCACAGTTCAGCAAATACACAGTGGCTACCACCAGATTAGCCGACTGAGCTAAGCTGCTCTCTCGTTGTTGTTTGATGATATTGCTATTTTTGTAAAAAAAAAATTTTGCTTCAGATTTAAAGTCATCCTGGCAACCGTTGCAAATATTGGGCCATCAATCCTATCATTCGGCGCTGTCCTGTTTGTAAGTTTAATTTACTGAATTATGCATTTTGCTACTTTTATCTGTGTTATACTTCAGTTTACTACGTTAATTAAATGTTTTATTGAAAAAGTATTGTCAATGTGATTGAAATTTAGTGATAATATTTTTTTTGAAGTTATTATCAGCACTTGGTATTAAGTCCTACCAGTTACCCACTGCATGAAGAGAGACAAACGTAGATGAAGTCTCCTATTCAAGGACACAAGCAATTTGCCCTGCAAGGGTTTCGAACCCCAAACTGGGAGTTAATAAAGAGTTTGATCGGCAACCGTTACACCAATCGCATATATTTTTATACCTAATTACACTTGTTAACATATCATGCCATTTCTTAATAATTATTTTATGCTTTAATTCTTCATCTTGCAACAGGTTGTATATTATGTATTTGCCATCATCGGTATGGAAGTGTTCGGAGGGCTTATCACGCATTATGAAGAGTGTATTGCGTTCTTTAACGTGCACATGGGACCAACGGCTTAAATGTCTCATCCGAAAGACGGTGTGCTATTGTAACTTGTATTTCAGCCCTCTAGCTGAAACACAAGGATAGGCAGCGATGGGAATTGAACCGGGGACCTAGAGATCTCCACAGTTCAGCAAACACACAGTGGCTACCACCAGATTTCCGACTGAGCTAAGCTGCTCTCTTGTTGTTGTTTGATGATATTGCTATTTTTGTAAAAAAAATTTTGCTTCAGATTTAAAGTCATCCTGGCAACCGTTGCAAATATTGGGCCATCAATCCTATCATTCGGCGCTGTCCTGTTTGTAAGTTTAATTTACTGAATTACGCATTTTGCTACTTTTATCTGTGTTATACTTCAGTTTAATATGTTAATTAAATGTTTTATTGAAAAAGTATTGTCAATGTGATTGAAATTTAGTGATAATATTTTGTTTGAAGTTATTATCAGCACTTGGTATTAAGTCCTACCAGTTACCCACTGCATGAAGAGAGACAAACGTAGATGAAGTCTCCTATTCAAGGACACAAGCAATTTGCCCTGCAAGGGTTTCGAACCCCAAACTGGGAGTTAATAAAGAGTTTGATCGGCAACCGTTACACCAATCGCATATATTTTTATACCTAATTACACTTGTTAACATATCATGCCATTTCTTAATAATTATTTTATGCTTTAATTCTTCATCTTGCAACAGGTTGTATATTATGTATTTGCCATCATCGGTATGGAAGTGTTCGGAGGGCTTATCACGCATTATGGGTACCCGGACAAATATGATGATCCATTTCAAGAATACTGCGGCAACATTAAACTTAAGGGGTCTCTGTTCTATCATGAACATTACTGCCATAATAATTTCAACAACATTATCAATTCTATGATACTACTCATTGAACTCACAGTTGTTAATCAGTGGCATAATATCCTTTGATCATAATTATTGTTAAAAAATATTATTATTTTTAAACTCACATTTGTTAATCAGTGGCATAATATCCTTTGATCATAATTATTAATAAATATTATTTATTATTATTATTTATTTTTTGTGAAATAAAATTAATATTAGATATTTTTTTATTATTATGATTAATTGTTATTAATATATTTTTAAAATATAAATATTTTATTTGTGTTATATATTATTATTGTTTTATTATTTTGTGCATTATAGGCCAGAGATAAGTGATCTTTTTTTTTTATTCTGATAGCATTAACAAATTGAGACCATTTTTTTTATCATAACACATATGTACCCATAGTACTACTCCAATGAATTTAATATTTTTATTACAATCATTAGCATTATTAATGTATTACTTTATTATTATTGTGAATATTGTTATTCTAATTGTTGTTCTGTTTTTTTAATGTTATTCAGCTAATGGTCGTAAAATATGATGAAATTGTTTATAATGTTATTTTTATCTGTGTAATCTTAATTTCTAGAACTAGGTAAACTTATTGTTATTACATACAATAACAAATTATCTTTATAATTCTTTTGTTTTTTTTCTTAACTTGTATTTACTAATAACATCAGGATTTGTATTAGTTACCAACAAAGCTGCAAGATTGTTCTTCATTCTCTTCCACATGTCCGTTGTTATAGTCGTTATAAAGTAAGTACACCTACTGAGGGCAGCAGACTAAAGTGCTTATTGATAAACTAACCCAAACTGAAGAATTTCACCTAGTGAAAATCAAGAAACCCTACTATACTATGTTAATTATAATACAACTGAATATAAATAAACAACTACCACAATAAGATGACTGCTCCGCATAACTTTTTAATTTTCGACTCCCAGAGTATATTCTAGAGGGCGTTGTCATGATCAATATATTACATTAATGTTTAAAATACCAGGCCAATAAAAATTGCTACAATAACACTTTGCTTGTGGTGATAAAACTTAGGGGGTATTCTTGTATTTTTGTTCTTGTATCCTATTGTTAACAGTGGTATAATTTCTATGAAATTACACTGTTTTTACACCACAAGTGAATAAGTATTCCTTGGATAGAAGTGTTAAACAGCATAGAACTGGCTATGTTTTTACAGTGAAATGAAGGAATAATTTTATATTTTTATTTAATACTATTTTTCAAGAGGGTGATCCATCAACAATTGCTGATCATTAGGGGCCCTCAAAAATAAAGTTTACTTTGATGCTGCATCCATTATGAGGCCTAATATTTGTTCATACTTCATTGACAAATTTCTGTCATTATATGCCCATAAAATGGGTATGATGATGTCATATCTCACCATATATGTGCAGATCACATGTATTTATTCAAGACAACTCTATAGTGTGGATAGATCCTTTGGAGTGTATTACAAAAACGTAATACAATAATAGCCTATTGACTACTATTGTATATTTTCGGAAAATATTTCAGCCGCTCCAAATCTCTTTTCTATTCTTCCTTCTTCCTTTATTCTTTCACAATTTTGCGTTTTTTTCATATTTTTCATAATTTTATACACTCACATATAGTCATTTGATTAGGCCTAGTCTAGGCTATACCTCGGCTATGCCTATTACTATATTATTTAAATATACAATTTTAGTAGATAAGATTAATTTAACATGGACATAGTAATTCATACTTAAACAATACATTAAATTTATATATTAATATAATAACGTTAACGAATAAATAACAATAACTAAACCATGTACATAGTGTATCACTACTACAATAATAAGATTAACATTTTCAATCTTATAATAAATTTTATACAGCCGGTGTTATGTATTGACATAGGCTACTGTGGCTAATGACAGGTACGCTTTCACCATTAAAGGCTTTTCTATGAATGGAATGACCTGTATGAAACACGAGCTCCTGTAGACCAAACCCAGTACCGTTACGATTTTAATTGTGCGGGAAGTATCCTCAAGATGCATTATAGGCCTTAGTGCCGACATAGGACTCAGGTGCAGACTGTGACCTCAGCCATTTTTATCCCATTCAAAAGCTACACGCTAAACTATTAGCCTATATTTTCCTATTTCTTAAACCTACCTACTATGCCTACCATAAAACTGTCTTATTTCTTACTATTATATACTATTTACTATATACTGTACACATAAATAGATTCTAATATTTTAATATTAATAATTAATTTATCAAGTAATTTAGATAATTAATTATTAAATAAGTGATTAAAAAACGAAATTATTTTTATACATTAAAAATTAACGTAGGCCTATTTTTCATACGTTTCAATAAGTAGATTCTGATGCATACATACAAAACAATGCGTAAAAATACAGAACAAAATTACATGCGTTATCTACACGCGCAAATTTTTCAAACAGACGGAAAAGAACGTTCATCATCATATAGCAGAACAAACAACAGAAACACATACACATACAGCGATGCACTCATGATTATGTTCATCCGATCATATTGTACATTTATACGTACTTCCAGGTAAGACATTTAATTTAGTTTGTTTTCTAAACGTTAATTATTCTTTATTTCATATAAAGAATTTTTTGGAAATCACTTAAGGTCCGATTCGATTTTGAATTATGAAAAGTGTAGGCTGTGGCATCGAGACCTGACGATTAGTGCCCAAAATTGTTTACAAAAACGTAATACAATAATAGCATATTGACTACTATTGTATATTTTCGAAAAATATTTCAGCCGCTCCAAATCTCTTTCCTATTCTTCATGTATTCTTTCACAATTTTGTGTTTTTTTCATATGTTTCATAATTTTATACACTCACATATAGTCATTTGTTTATGCCTAGTCTAGGCTAGACCTCGGCTATGCCTATTACTTATTTAAATATACAATTTTAATAGATAAGATTATTTAACATGGACATAGTAATTCAAACTTAAACAATACATTAAATTTATATATTAATATAATAGCGTTAACGAATAAATAACAATAACTAAACCGTGTACATAGTGTATAACTACTACAATAATAAGATTAACATTTTCAATCTTATAATTAATTTTATACAGCTGGTGTTATGTATTGACCTCGGCTGCTATGGCTAATAACCGGTACGCTTTCACCATTAAAGGCTTTTCTATGAATGGAATGACCTGTACGAAACACGAGCTCCTGTAGACCAAACCCATTACCGTTACGATTTTAATCATGCGGGAAATATCCTCAAGATGTTTTAAAATTTTTTTTTCAGCATTTTCATTGCATTCATTCTTGAAGTATACATGGTGGAGTTCTCATTATCAAGCAACAACTTTGAATCGACAGTGGAGCGCCGGATCAACGAACTTGGGCTTGGCGTTACAGAGTAAGTTCTGTGGTATTTGTGTTAGGAGTCTTTTAAGCATTCAATAACTTAGGAACTTGCAAACAAAAAACTAGAATTTCCACTTCCCACCTTCCCCCACCCCCAATTTTCGTTTGAATAAAAAAATAGTCAATAAAAAAAAAGAAAATTATACTAAAATTTAAGCCTAAGAGTGCCATTATCTTAAAATTATGTACCTTGGCCCCAATCATGGTGAAGCACAGGTGGTCTGAACCCTCTATATATAAAAGTCCCTATGGGCCCATCTATTTTAAAATTCTAGATCTACTACTGGGCATTTGCCACGGTTTTCAATTACTAGGGGTGAAAATGTTACAAAAAGGTACCATTGACAAACAATATGCAGAAATATTAAAGTAAATCTCTTTGAAATTGTATTGTGAAAATAAAAGATATTATTATCAACTGTATCAGGTAAATTTTTTAAATTTTTATCACACCTTTTTTAAAATTTTAATTTTACCCATTTTTCTGTATTTTCATGTGGTGATAAGCTTATGTAAACTTTTTTATAGTTATAGTTTAATACAAATCCTCGATATACGGAATGGCAAAACCATATAATATAATAGAATATAAAAGCGCATTGAATTCGCTTCTTTTTTAGGTCCCTTGAGGTCTGTCTATCTCATTGAAGCCAGTTATATGGAAAAACAATATAATATAATGGAATATAAAAACGCATTGAATTCGCTTCTTTTTTAGGCCCCTTGAGGTCTGTCTATCTCACTGAAGCCAGTTAACTCTAGTGTCAGCGTCAAAGGCTCCTGTCATATTACAAATGTCATGCCTCATGTGTCCAATCTAAAGATTAAATACAGTTATTTGACACCCTGAGGGCATAAAATGGCAACATATACCTTTAAATTAGCATTTATACATATTTATTTTCTGATTAATCCATTATGCCCATGTTAATATCCTGAGGAACTCAACTTTGATTGGATGTTCTACTACATACTCATACAGTACATTATATACATAATTTTATTTATTTGGTCCTACAGCAGCATAAACTGATAAGCATTACAAAGTAAATAGTTTACCGGCGAAGCTATTTTGATGCCTTGGCGCCGTGAGCATCTCCCCCACTGATCGATATGCACGCTGTATAAATAGCCAATTGATTAATTGAAGTGAAACGGCCGTTGGATATAAAAGATATATAACAATTTCAGTAAAAATATGCGACTACCTCTTTAAATACTCAAATTGTTAGATTTTGTTTCAGCACAGATAGTAATCTCTTGCACTTCATACTGTGGGTGCTGTCATCCATAAACCATAAACACGATCAGATAGCAACAATACCGCAATTTTAAATTTAGGCTAATAAGAACCTATTTATTTTTGCCTTTTATTGTGGGCTTAAGTTAAATACTATTGCTACTATTGACTTTTTCCAAAAATACTTTTTAGTGGTTTTACTTCGTTTTCCTGCTTTTTCCCCCTCTCTATTTAAATGATAAAATTGTTTATAATAGACATGCTTTGACAAGCATCTTCTTGGCATCATACCTGTATTGCTTGTGTATTTTGACAATGGTATCTTTGTGTGGCAGGGAAATAAACCTTTAATGATTAACTCTTTTTGCCAAGGACATATTGAGGTTAAATTTGACAATTGATAAACTGGATTGATTTCATCTATTCATCCAGTTTGACCCAATTTAAAGACGGTTTTGATCATTGCGTGTACATTTTGTGGGACAATGTGACATTTTTTAATTCTAAATTTTCACCTTGTTGAACCCTAGATGACTTTGCTGTGTTTATTATCAATCCTAATTCTCAGAATCTTCATCACCCCCTTCTCCTCTTCCCCTATCTTCTGTTTCCCTCTATTCCGTTTTCCTCTTCCCAATTATTAGGGGAAAAAAAGGTTTCAGTCTTAATTATTTTTTTTCATTTAATATTATTATTATTAGTATTATATAATTATAATCATCATTGTCATAATTTTGAGGATCATAAAAACTCTAAAGTGCAGCAAACATTAATAAATGTTTCATATTACTAAGTCTAACTGTTAAAATCAGTAATATTGGCCGGCACATTGTATAGAAACACCATCAATTTTAAGTAGTTTGGTGCAACAGGAATGGTTTGGTTTTCCAACCTTGAGGTTGGGGTTTAAATGCCTCGCTTCACTTTTTCTGCATTAATTGCTTCTCTCCACCCAGGAGTATAAGTGGGTACCTAAGGAGGTTTGAATGCAAAATGGGCTCATATATTTCATGCAGCAAACTATGGCATCGTTCCAATGACTGGGGTAATAATGTGGAAAAGTGTTCTGAGGCTTGTGTAGAAGGCTGTATAAAAGTCTACATAATATTATTATTATTATTATTATTATTATTAATATTATTATTATTATTATTATTATTATTAATATTATTATTGTTATTATTATTATTAATATTATTATTATTGTTGTTGTTGTTGTTGTTGTTATTATTTTTTTATTATTCAATTTCTTGATGATTTCAGGATAGCAGAAGGAAAGTTTGAAGCACAAAGTCCGAAAAAGACCGACCAAGTGGACCTGGTTGATAACGGAGCACCAATTGCAAGTGAGGATGCACCAAAGAATGGAGGACAAGATACGACTGAGGGAAACGCCGGAGCCAGCAATGATGGCGTACGGTTTAGACTTAAGGGCAGTAAGTAAATAACTACTTCATTAACTGGGTCTAGCTATTACTAGTAAGCAACTCTTGCAGTGAAGTGTAACTTACACTCACAAATATAAATTACTTGTATCATCAAATATTGTAAGCTAATTTTTGTTAAATGTTTGTAGGATCTAGAAACGTTGAGGTCGTCTTGCAGAGGATGTTTGAAGGAGAGCTTGACAGCGATGACTTGGGCCCAGCCAACGTAACGAACATTGACGATCTCGAGCCGGAAGATATGACTCCTACTCCCCTTACATTTGAAAATATAACATAGCATCATTGTCGTATGGTTTTCTATGTTACATTACTAAATGTTTTCGTAAACTCGTCCCCACAACCAGCATTTACTTCCTCTCACTTATGAGAGGGATTCATAGTAATATCTATATTAATAATTATAATTAATAATAATAATAATTATAATTTTTTTTATTATGAGTATTATTATTACTAAGAAACTGGTTCATCTCCTCATAGTATTAAAATGTGTTAGCTAGCCATAATCATGTCACTATAATTTTTGAAGCATATATATTATATAAAACAATCTTTAAAAGGAAAAATTAAAATATTTAAAACTTAATTTAAATTATATGTTTCATTTAAATGAAATATTTAAGAAAAATTATATTGCTGCTCTAAATGCTGCTGAATGCCAATAATACTTTAATTATTTGTATAAATGTGATGATAATATTCAGTATCATATCAAAAATGAAAATAAGATAAAAACATATGATTTATATGAATTGAGATATTATGATAATGTGAAAATTTAAAAAAACATGTATAATAAATGTTTTTAATTTGAAATAAGGTGGGGCTACCCACACAATAGAGAAAAAATCTATATTCAGAAAATTACATGGCTTTTAAAACAATGCAAGTTACTAGGCTATAGTCGAGCTATAGGAATGGAATATACAAATTTTAAGTGAATTTCACAGCCAGTGTTACCATGTAAATATATGAAAATTGCAATACCAATAATTGATATATAAAAGATAGAATTTATAAATAATAATATGAATAAAATGCATTTAAATTTTAAAATAGAAGTTAATAATTTATCAATATATTTATTTCCAAAGAATTGTTTAAATATTTAAATAGGTTTTTTATTATTCAAATCCTATATGTATATTAGATTATTACTAATTTAAAAATGTTTTCTAATACTTGCTATATTTTCATTTAGATGATTGTATTCTTTGATATATATATATATATATATATATATATATATATATATATATATAATTAAAACGGAACAGTAGAGAAAATCCGATCAGAATGACAAAATAAACAACTAAGTATCCACTGGAAGGAATCCCAATATCTGCAGACGGATCCGATTCGGCCTTCCAGGACTCATCAGTGCAGCTGGGGTATAGACCCAAAAGAAACGTTTGACCAGCTTAGGAAGGGCCCAAACCAGTCCCACTACCACTAATGATTACAGAGCCAATAAATATATATATATATATATATATATATATATATATATATATAAAGTAATTTATGTAAGATATATATACAGTATGTATATATACATATATTAAATGTCAAAATCAAAAATTCAACACTAGTCGTAAACATCGATATTGTGATGAACTCCAGAAAAGTGTCTTACCCAAGGTGGCACAAAACAAAAAAACGCACATGTTTTGAACTTGATTCCACCCCACACCCAGTTTACAATTCCTACTTGTCCAGTAACTTTCCCTATAATAATGATAATTGCTTATAATGATGAATACTTATGATGTTCTAACTCATGCTGGTAGGTGGTCTTGCATAAAAGCGTTCAGTTCTATTACATATTTTTATTTTTAAAGTTTAGTATAATAATCCTCCATCGTCTAGGTATCCAGAAAGCAGTATAAAAACGTATATTAACAAAGGCCTATGTTAATTAAGTTTGATTTGTGTCCAAACTGTTTTGTGAGATTAATTGTGGGTTTTTTTTGTTAACAATGGACTTAGACCCAAAAGTTACTGTTCAATCAAGATTTTGTGTGTTAATCATTTTAAAATGAATATAATTTTTATGCGCAAAGAATTGCAAAATGTAATATTTGCAAATTATGAAGATGCTACAATACATGGAATAAAGAAATACTCTAACATTTGTCTTCGTGTTTGTCTTAAAAATTATTGAATATTATTATCATCGTAATGACATGCTAATCCTGGCACTACCCCTGATACTAATCAAGCTAAAACAATTATGTTACTGCTAATTTTCAGCTACTAAAGTTTCCATTCAATTTTCGGATAATTTCGTTCTATATTTATATAGGCCTAATTAAAATTGTAAGAAAAAAAGACATTTTGATTGGATTGGATTATTCTGGTTCACGCAGTTCATGCTTCGGTGATTAACTCTTACTAGTTGGTGTTATCTTATGTTTGAAATCCTTTGAGCATCATCAAAGTAATTCAATTCAACTTTTATTTCGGAATTGCATATTCATAGCATTAAACACAATGAGCAAATTACATAAAAAGAAAGAAATATGAGTCGAATGGCCGAGCGGCTAAGGCAGGGGCGCCGCGCAACGTACAGCCATAATATCGGTGCTAGTTCGAACTTAGAGGAGAAAACAAAATAAATGTACGAGCTGGTCCACACCTCGAGCGCTTTGAGACCCTAACCGAACTATGCACTACCGGGGTAGGAACGTTACTCCGCTAAGGTCCTAATGACCCGCATACCCCACCCTAACCGAACTACGTATTACCGGGATATGGTGCGTTACTCCACTGGAGTCCTAATGACCCGCATATTACACCCTAACCAAACTATGCATTCCTAATGACCCGCATACCCACGGCCTATTTTATGCACACATTTTTGCAAAAAAATTTATTTAAACTAAACTAAACGATTTATCAACTCATTTATATAGGCCTATCATATTATTACAGGCCTATTATATGATTATGATATTTATTAGTTTAATGTTTTGACATTTTTATCAGAAAAAGTATGAAATGTTGTAATAAAAATTCAATGACGAAATAAATGTGCAAAAGAGAAAGAAGAAAAGGTTTACTTATGCTTAACCACTGACACACGTCGTATTGTAACATTTGCGTTACGGTAAGTCTCTAATAGAAAATGTTTTCACTTTAAGTATTACTATTATTATTTATTGCATTATCGGGATTAATCTCTGTCGCGGTTCATCAATCTGCGTTTGCTTTTACATAAAGTATACTGAAACTTTTACAATGGATGGTTCTATAGAAACTGCTTGTTCCGAAAATAAGCCTATACAGTATTCACACCAGCTTAGATTTACAAACGCTCTAAAATTGTAAGTCTTTCTCGATAGCATATATGTTTGCACTTTCCCAAAAGTCTGTCGCATTTGTTATCAAATAAATAAATAGATAAATAAATAAATAAATAAATATATGAAAGGTTGGACGAATGAAGGAATAAATGAATGAATGAATGAACGAACGAACGAACTAACGAAGTAACGAAAGAACGAACGGACGGACGAACGAACAAACGAATGATGAAAGAAAGGAGGGATGCTTCAATGAATGACTGGATGAACAAAGAAATGAATGATCGGAACAGACAATCGCACGAAACTAGTAAATGAATGATCAAACGAATGAATAAAATCAATAACGTGAAATGCATACTCTCAGATTACTATTTATGTTACCGGCAAAACAATTTTAATTTATTCAGTATACTGTAATGATAGCTTTTATACTTTCATCAGTAAACTTGTTAAAACTGCATCTTGATTTTAGCGCATGTTTCGGTGATATAGATATTTTATGGTTATCTACATTAAATAAAGTATTTATGTCATTGAAGCCAGGGGAAATTATTCGAGAATAATATATATGATGATATATATATATATATAGATGTGTATAAGAGACAGTCGTAATGGCATGCTAATCCTGTCGCTATCCCTGATACTAATCAAGCTAAAACAATTATGTTACTGCTAATTTTCAACTACTAAAGTTTCCATTCAATTTTCGTATAATTTCGTTCTATATTTATATAGGCCTAATATTGTAAGAAAAAATAAGATATTTTGATTGAATTGGATTATTCTGGTTCACGTAGTTCATGCTTCGGTGATTAACTCTTATTAGTTGGTGTTATCTTATGTATGAAATCCTTTGAGCATAAAAATGATAGTATTCATCAAAGTAATTCAATTCAACTTTGAATTTGGAATTTTAT